AGTGAGGTCATATGATACATGTATGTCTCTGATTGACTTATTTTGCTCAGCATAATACCCTCCAGTTCCATCCACGTCATTGCAAATGGCAAGATTTCAATTTTTTAATGGCTGCATAATATTCCAGTGTGTGTGTGTGTGTGTGTGTGTGTGTGTGTGTGTGTGTGTGTATATATATATATATATCACATCTTCTTTATCCATTCGTCTGTCAATGGACATTTTGGCTCTTTCCACAGTTTAGCTATTGTGGACGTTGCTGCTATAAACATTCTGGTGTGCACGTGCCCCTTCGGATCACTACATTTGTATCTTTGGGGTAAATACCCAGTAGTGCAATTGCTGGGTCATATGGTAGCTCTATTTTCAACTGTTTGAGGAACCTCCATACTGTTTTCCAGAGTGGCTGCACCAGCTTGCATTCGCACCAACAGTGTAGGAGGGTTCCCCTTTCCCCGCATCCCCACCAACATCTGTCGTTTCCTGACTTGTTAATTTTAATTCCTATGTGAACTGACATGTAAATGAGGTCTCAATGTGCAGCATTATTTCACATAACTCATTTTAATGTGATTGCTGCATCAAATCAGATTCAAAGGAGATTGGCTATTTCTCTTTTCAGGAATACCACATACTGCAGCAAAGTTGCGTTTCCTCTGGAAGTGGTTCAAAAAGACAGCTGCTTCAATTCCTCCATGAAACTCCCACTGCATAAACTGTATATAGAGTATGGTGTTCAGAAGATCACGTGTCCAAATGTAGATGGATTCTTTCCTTCCACCGTCAAACCAACCATCACTTGGTACATGGTAAGGAAACTCAAGAGCATCTTACCCTCTCTAAAATGGCAATATCTGTCCTTGATTGTTGAGTTAATGTTGAAACTGAGATTTTTCTCATCAGAGTTTTTATTTCTTCCTTAAAAACTTTATACAAATCTTTTACCACTTCTTCACTTTGTGCCATTTTTGTTTATTTATTTATTTATTTATTTATTTATTTATTTATTTATTTATTTTGTGTGCCATTTTAAGGAAGTGGTAGAGAATGCTTTGCCTCAACTCATCATTTCCTAAATTACATTCACTGGGCAACTAGAACTACCATATTTTTATTAACTTCCTATGAGATACCATTTGAGAAATGCCCGCACACTTCTCTTCACTGCTGAGTGAGGTCAGAAGCTGCTTGCTCATTTGGTGAATGTCAACTCCTTGATTAGTCAGCACTGTATTCTATTATTTGTGTGTGTTCTCATGTTTACCTTCATTTGTGGGCACAGTCCATCTGTGGTCTCCTCCACATCTGAGAGACTTGGAAAGTGTTTAATCAAAAATGAAAGTGTTGGAAGGTGGCACCTGTGGCAGCAGCCTTGTTTTTTTAGTCTCCTCAAATACCCACATATGCCAAAGCTAAAAACTACTGGACAACATTTAGAACAAACTCAGTGACGAGTTATCCATAAGAATCACTTTCGATGACATGAGTGAGACAAACCACATATAGAATCAGTGTCTAGGGAAGGGGGCAGATGGAAGTAATGTGGTATCTGGCAGACTTGAGAACAAGGGTGGTCCTCATTGTAAAGTGAGGGATGGTGGGCCAATCTGAGAACAGCAGCTGAAGTTGGGAAGAGTTTTGCTCTCTAACAGGGGGTGAGTCCAAGAGGTCCATAGTAAGAAATTCTGAAGGGACTGAAGTTGTTCTAGTGCCTCACAACTCTGAAAAACTGCCACCTGCACTGAGGACAAGTGGCTGGGAGTGTGATCAGAAGTAAACAGAATCAGGACAATATAGAGGAAGGAAAGAGAAGGACCAGCTAAAAACGGAGAAGCAGCAGGCTCCGGAAATCCCAAGACCATAGTTTGGAAGAGGGATCTCTGTGATGCTAGAAAATCCTGCCATGTTCAAAAACTCAGAAAAAAACAAGTTTTACCAAAAAATGAACAACAAAAAGAGCCATGATAGGGGCACCTGGGTGACTCAGTCAATTAAGCGTCTGACTCTTGATTTTGGCTCAGGTCATGATCTCAGGGTTCTGAGATCGAGGCCCACGTCGGGCTCCACGCTCAGTGCAGAGTCAGCTTGGGATTCTCTCTCCCTCCCCCACCCAAGGGAGGATGTGCTGTCTCTCTCTCTAAATAAATAAAAATAAAACCTTAAAAAAAAAGAACCAAGGTAAAATCCCATTCAAACTTAAAAGAAAAAAGAATAAGAAGCAGAATAACACTTCTACCAAAAAAGAGAAAGCATGTCAGAAGAACATAATGCGACTTACTATTAAAAAGTGAGCTAAAAGACGTTAAGAAATGATGTGAGAAAGAATAACATAGATCAATAACACTTAGAAAAGTCCAGACATAGAAAGTTAGGAAGAAGGAAATCAGTCATTTCAGAAAGGAAGCTAAAACCTAAGAGGAACGTAACAGCAAATGAACATGATAGATAATGCCTTAAGACGAACAGAAAGTGGAAGGGAGAAAGAATTTAAAATTGAAAATAAATGATGAATAAAAATAAGAAAGTTCGAATGGATATACCAGTAACACATATAGTAGACTGTAGACAATGAGTATTGCCAGAGATAAAGAGGACTTTTCAGAATAATAAAAGGGTCAATTCATTAGGAAGTCGTAAAAATAGTACACGTATATGTGCCTCACAGCAGTGTGTCTGCATGAAGCAAAAGTTGACAGATTTAAAAGAAGAAGTAGGCAATTCATAATCATAGTTTAAAATATTAGCATCTAACAGTTGAAGTCATTAATGAAATGACTTAGGAGCCAACTTTAAGAGCTTTCCATTGGCCAATAATGGAACAATTTGAACTTCAGTAAGGTTATTAATCACAGTAGGTTGAATCTTATGAATTAAATTTAAATCCATAAGTTCATAATGATATTTCAAAATAATTGGTCACATTTAGTGGATGATAGGAAATCAATTTGTTATCTTGAAAACTGGAAAAGGGAAAAAATCGGGTATTTATTCTGCCTTTCCTATAAGAAATGTGCACTGACTAATGAAATAGTTCAGAGAAGTGTTTTTGTTAATTATGTTATGTTAATCACCATATATTACATCACATCATTAGTTTTTGATGTAGTGTTCCATGATTCATTGTTTGCATATAACACCCAGTGCTCCACACAGAACGTGCCCTCTTTAATACCCATCACCAGGCTAACCCATCCCCCCACTCCCCTCCCCTCTAGAACCCTCAGTTTGTTTCTCAGAGTCTATAGTCTCTCATGGTTCATATCTTCCTCTGATTTCCCCCACTTCATTTTTCCCTTCCTGCTGTCTTCTTCTTCTTCTTCTTCTTTTTTAACATATAATGTATTATTTGTTTCAGGGGTACAGGTCTGTGATTCATCACTCTTACACAATTCACAGCGCTCACCATAGCACATACCCTCCCCAATGTCCATCACCCAGCCACCCCATCCCTCCCACCCCCCACCACTCCAGCAACCCTCAGTTTGTTTCCTGAGATTAAGAATTCCTTGTATCAGTGAGATCACATGATACATGTCTTTCTCTGATTGACTTATTTCACTCAACAGAATACCCTCCAGTTCTATCCACGTCGTTGCAAATGGCAAAATCTCATTCCTTTTGATGGCTGCATAATATTCCATTGTAGTGTGTTCTTATAAAAGTATATAATCATTTTGCAGCCCCTAATGAATTAATAAATCTGAGTGTGAAGCAGCAATGACTGATACCATGATAAGAAAGGAAACAGCTAGACATATTCCTTCTCATGAAAGAATAAAATATGCCAAATGAATTAAACCTGAGTCTGAAAAAAACCCTTTGGATCTTGCTGCCATTTTGCAGGATATATAGAGAACAGAGGAATGTATTGTTCTACACCATAAGTTTGCAGTCAGCAAAATCCAGACTGGAAAATTCTATGGGCCAAATGTCCTGGATTATTCAACAGATAAATTGCAAGAAAAAGAAAGGCAGGATGTGGGACTATATAGGTTAAGAGAAACATGTCAGACACATTTGACAATGCATGAGACTGTGGTGTCTAAGGATGTACGTATGGGTGATAAGATTATAAAGGAAAATAAGAAATTGATTTTACTGTGAAAGTGTAGATAGTGGCTACTTTGGGGGGGGAACTAGTAAAAGAGCTGTGATGGACATGGGGCATGTGGAAGGCCTTTAGGGGTGACTAGTAACATTCTATTCTGGACCTGAGCAGTGCTTATGAAGATATTTGTTCTATAATGATACATGAACTCATACATACATTTGAGTGTTTTTTGTATATGTTTTATGCTATAATAAAATGATTAAGAGATAGGGAGGGAAGGAGGGGAGAAAGAAAATGAGAGAGAGATAGAAAGACTGATTTAAGATATATAACAACTAGTTGCAATGTATGGACCTTAGATTGTATTTTTTTCAGACAAACTATAAAGCAAGTTATGAGAAAATCAGGGAACTCTGAACACAGAATATTGATAATACGAGTTATTACTTTTTAAATTGTGATGATAATACTATAGATATGCTTGCAGAAGACAAGGGTCTTGTCATTTGGAGATTACACATAGAAATCTTTACAAGTGAAATTATATAATGTCTGTGATTTGCTTCACAATAATCTTGGGGTGCAGTGAGTGGGTGTAGATGATATAAGACATAGCCTGAATTTATACTTTAGGCTAGGTACAGGTGATCACTGTATATTCTGTAATTGTGGTGTTCTCTAATAGACAGCATAAAAAATTATTAAAAGGATAATATTAACAATTTTACATCAGTAAGTGTAATGCATTTTCCAATTAAAAAATGTATTCTTCTACTTACCTGCAATTGAGTTCTCTCATCTCTAACCCTGTTCACTTTTTCTATACTTGACTACTTCAGACTACTTGGTCTGAAAAAATTAATTTTATTTCCTTATATATTCTGTGTTTTGTTTTGTTTTTCCTTTTTCTTGATGCATTACCTACCTGGAATGTCCCCTCTTCTTTCTTCATACAGTTCAAATTCTACCACCTTCATGAAATGTTCTCTCTTCTCTCCAGCTAGAAATATTTTTTCCCTAATATAATCCCACAGCTACTTATTTATGCCTATCTCCATGTCGCTTTTCACTTCCTTTATTGTTTTACTGTCATCCATGTATACATTCAACAGCTGTTGAAGATCAATTGTATTCAGTGCAATATGTCAGGGGTTTGGCAGAACACAGTGATGAATGAGATATATGTCCTACCCTACATAGTTCCAAAAAGATCCCACAGTTTAATTTAGACAGGTTTATAAATAAGAATTCTTATTCTTATCAAAAAGTAGAATTCTAAGTTCCATAAGAGTGCCAAAGAGAATTAATTGTTGGTTCTAAGAAGAGGGAGAAATGTACACACATGTACCCTATGAGATTGACTATTTCTTGAGGACAGAGTTACAGCATACCCATCTCTATATCCTCAAAGATTTCCAGATTTTTGGTTTTTCTGGTTGGATGAATGTTGGTGCTATTAACCAAGATATGAAGGAGCAGAGAAGGAGCAGGTTTGGGAGCAAGTAATGGGTTTTGATAATGTCATATGGAGTTAGAGATGTCTGTGAGATACCTAGGTAGCAGTGGCCTGTAGGTTGTGGTTACATGTGTATGGGTCTGGAGCTTAGAAAAAAAAATCAAAACTGGAGCTCAGAGAATTGGATGCATGTATATGATAGTTGAACCCCTTAAGAAGAAGACAAAATACAAAATAAAATGATAAAGTAAAAGGCCAAAGTCAAAATCTGGAGAGAATGTTCATGGGGTGAATGAAGGCAA